GACTCACAATCTGGAATCAAGATTGCCGAGAGAAACAGCAACAACCTCAGATATGCAGGTAATACCCCTCTAATGGCAGAAAGTGAAAAGCAACTAAAGAAACGCTTGATGAGGGTAAAGGAGGAGAGTGAAAAAGCTGGCTTACAACTCAACATTCAAACAACTAAGATCATGGCATCCTGGTCTCATCACTTAATGTCAAATAGAAAGGGAAAGAGTGGAAGCAATGATATTGTATTTTCTTGGGTTTAAAAATCACTGTGGATGGTGATAGCAGCTATGAAATTTAAAGACCCTTGCTCTTTGAAGGAAAGCTATGGTAAACCTACAGCTGATAGTAAAAAGCAGAGACATCACTTTGCCGACAAAGGTCTGTATAGTCAAAGCTCTGGTTTTTCCAGTAGTCACGTACAGATGTGACAGTTAGACCATAAAGAAGGCTGAATGCTGAAGAATTGATGCTTTTGAACTATGGTGCAGGAGAAGACTCTTGAGAGTCTCTTAGACTGCAAGAAGACCAAACCAGTCAATCCTAAAGGAAATCAGTCCTGTATATTCACTGGAAGGACTGATGCTGAAGCTCCAATACTTTGGTCATCTGATTCAGAGGGCCAACTATTGGAAAAGACTTGATGCTAGGAAAGATCGAAGTCCAAAGGAGAAGAGGGAGTCAGAGGATGAGATGGATGGACACCAACACCGACTCAATGAACATGAATTCGAGGAAAGTACGGGAGATAGGGAAGGAAAGGGAAGCCTGGCGTGCTACAGTCTATGGGGTCACAAAGAGTCGGACATGACTTAGTGACTGCACAACAACACTGCAATGTGAGTTCTTTGAGGGCTGATATATTTTAATTTTTATTATATGTTGGAGCATAGTTGATTAACAATGATGTGTTAGTTTTGGGTGTATAGCAAAGTGATTCAGTTATACATATACATGTATCTATTCTTTATCAATTTTTTTCCACTTATATTATTACAGAATATTAATTAGTGTTCCTTGTGCTATACAGCTGGGCCAAATTTTTTTTTTTTTCAGTATCACTGGTTTCTAAATAAACAAATATGTTAAAATATAAATAAAGGAAATCTCCATAGGATAAGTTTTATAGAGAAAATAACAAACTACTTTTCATTTCACCCTGTATATTATGTAATATAAATGTATTATTTTGGACATTAAAATACTAGTGCTTATGCTATAGCATATGTAAAACTTGTAAGAAATTATTATTTATATATATGTTTGTAGGATGGTGGGAGACTTAGAAGCCATTTTTTTTTCACATCTGTATATGAGTAGTTTTCTCAAGAAAAATGCATTTTTGTGGGGATGCCTAGATACATATGGCAAAGGCAACAGTGTCCTCATTTCGTATCTCCTTTAAAAAATTCACAAGGTAATATTCATGTCTGTCTTCATTTATTTCCATGATGTGAAATCCTGAGAGAGATCCTTGTGCACCAGTGGCAGCTGTCTTTGGAAAAATCATGAAGGACTGGGAATCCAAAGGCTTCCCCCTTCCCCTACCTTTATTTCACCAAGAAATTACCTCTGAATCCTCAAAGGTCATTTGACAAACAGTTTTATTTCTCTGTTCTACATACTTTGGCCCTTGTATGTAGGATGAATAGTAAGTATGTTAATTTATGAAGTTAGATCTTCATCTACCTGTTTAATCAGTAACAATTTATTATGCTCTTGCCATATGCCAGATACATTGTCACAAGAAGAGTTCTTGTTCTTTTACTATTTTGTCTTGGGAGTCTGTGCAGATCACCTACCTGTGTCATCTATAATATGATATAATAATGCATACTTTCCTGGGTCAAATTTTGTGAGGATCAGATGCAAAAGAAACTTCTAATATAAGAATTTGAGAGAGATTTTTCACACCATAAAGATATTTTTACAGTTCAGTAGCTGAGGCTAACTATCATTCATCCCAACCCAGGAATCAATGTGTCTCCTGCATTGCAGGTGAATTCTTTACATTTTGAGCCATTGGGGAAGTTCCATAAGATATTGCCATAAAATAACTGATTGTTTAGATAATGAAGATTGATTCTTAGATCCTGAGATTATTATTGCTTTTATTGGGATGGTAATCTGAGACTTCTTTCATGAGAAGTATGAAATGAGAAACAAGTTAGAGTGTGAAGATATTGTTTTCATAATATTTATTAGGTATTTAAGGCTATTTGAGGCCCAGATATAATATTCTTTGGAGCTAAACACATGAAGACAATTTTAAAAAGTCTTGTCTTATATAAAAATGATGGAGAGAGGTGAAGAGCAATTTCATTAAACTGTATTTTTGTATACATTTTTGAAGTGAGCGAGCATTTCTACCTGTCTTTATGACTACAGTTTATGAGTCTCATATGTATCTTACATGAGATTTGTTGAAATCAACCTCTGGTAATATGCAGTGCTTTTATAGTTCACTGCAGCAAATGGAGTGACAAGATCCTGAAGGCTAAAGAGAAAAATTATCACAGAGAAGCAGTCTCTCTAGGTTCTCATTCACTAATAATAGTAATTACTATGCTTATTGATTATTTTTCATGTGCCAAGAATTCTCAGGACTTTACTTTTATGGAGGTATATAATTTTCCCATCATAATTATAAAGTCAATTTTATTATCATTCTACTTTATGGTGAAGTATAAAGAGTTTGAGGGATTTGAACACGGTCATTTGGTGAAAGGGTTATGATCTGAACACAGACTGACTCTGGAGAACTTTATTAAATATTACAGCATATAGTCTCTCATCCCAAATCTAGTCTGGCTTAGTGAGAGCTAACAAATAGTGGTGGTGGTAGAAATGGGGAGGAGGAAGACACAGAGTGGATAAGACAAAGGAGGGAAAATTATTTTATCTTCAAGTTCTGTGACTCAGGACAAATTATAAATTGTGCATGATTATCATGTGACACCACTAGTTTTTATAACACATGTACTTAAAATATATGTATTCACTCTTCATGTTTCTCTGACTTAATGGTTCCACATATAATTATTTCCTAATTTTTGGTGCCCCCCAAAATTGTGAGGGATGCAGTGTTTTCTGTTTCTCATAGCACCTGGTACACGGTAGTCACACAAAAAACATTTCAAACCCATTTAGTCACTCACTGACTAAATGGGTTATTTGAAGTCACATCATGGGAAAGGTTTAATGTTATGAAGAACATTCCAACAGTCACAGGTGTTAAATCTAAGAAGGGGGCCAGCCTGCCTCAGAATCTGGAAATTCAATGTCTTTAGAACGTAACATACTGCAGAGATTTTGCCAGGGATACCAAAGAAAGGAAATATAAAAAGATGATCTAGTTGGACTTCCTAATTATACATATCTCTGATTTTCTGATTCTACCAATTCCATAAAGAATCATTTCCCATTTTAAAAATAATATTATGCAGCATGAGTTGGATATGTTCAGAAATTAGCATAATTGGTATAAACTTCTTCTTTCCTAAAGTGAAAAAACAAACAAACAAACAAACAAAACCTCCTACAGCTGGAATCTTGGTAAGATGAATTATATTTGAACTAGTCTACAAAAATGTAGGCAGGCTTCCCTAAAATTATTAACTATTACATTAAGTACTTGGATAAATATAAAATGAGACATGTCTCTTGTTTTCTTTATATTGATCAGATTGCATTCTCTCTTTATATGTCTAGAAATATTTTTATTGTGTATAAATGAACCAACAATTCCCCAAATGATAAATAGAGAGGATCTATTTTTCCATTGTTAGAATGATTGCTAACTCTAATCTAATCAAGAATAGATTTCAGGCAGAGGATGCACTGAAAACTTGTTAACATGCAGATTATTCCAAAATTGGCCCTGTTGCTTCAGCATAGACTTTATATGCATCTGATTGAGAGCAATGTGGGTGTTTGTATTTCCAAGTCTGAAACACTATGATTTAATTTTCAGTCAGAGTTCTCTGTATTAACATTTGCTAGATATATGTTCTAGAAATTAGATAAAACTACATTGGATGTTCAATAAATGGATGCTGAGTGAACAGAGAAATAATTTCAAAAATTATTTTACCTTTTTCTTCAAGTGAACTAGATAAAAAAAGGAATATTTACTTCTTATAGTTTTACATAGTTGACTGAAAAATGAAAGAAGGCCTTAAGAAATTTTGCCAAATACCATAAATATAAACAGGACCATAATTCTAAATTTTATGACTAATTCCTCCCTCTATATTTTTATTTCCCTTTCTATATACCAATGCCCTATTCTCCATGTATGTCTCATATGAAGAGCATTGATAGGCAAAGGTAGGTATCAGATAGGAACTGTGGATTCTTTCTGAGCATATATAATTGTAACACAATGAGTCATTGACAAAAATAAAATGAAGTAGATGAAATAAGATAAAAGAAGGCAAAGAAAACCTTTTGGAATTAATGCTGATGAAAGTACAACTTTGTGAACTTTAAAAATGTGACCTTTATGGTATGTGAGTTTTATTTCAATACAGCTGTTATAAAGACAGAATGCTAGCCACTCTTGCATTATTTTTACATAAACAGAGGTGCTAAGAGAGCTACATTCTTTGATGTCTCTTCCTCCAGAAATTTAAGATTTCCAAAATAAAAACCATCAGTGACTACTTACATTTGCTTTACAACTCAGCCATGCAAATTTAAGACATGGCATCTTTGTTGATGCTTTAAAGTATGTCTATCTGTTATGTTATAGAACAAATGTACCAGTAAGGTGAAAAATAAAACCATGCAATCATCACAGAGCCTCAACCTTAAGTATATTTACTGGAGCAGCAAAAAGAAGAAAAGAATTGGGTTTCAAAAGAAAGCATCAAATGCTCATGAATTCTATAACCATCTCACAAGCACAGCATCTGGAACTGCACTGATAAAAGAAGGGAAACAATGAGTATACCCTAGCTTCATCTGCTATAACCAAAGTTGTGATGGCTCATGGGTGTAATCAACTTACCCGGTCAAGAGCTGCTTTCTCCAGTTCATTTTTGGCTACAGCTAATTTTTGTTCCAGATCAGTAAGCTGTTGGGCCTGTAAAATGAGAGGTAAATCTTTTTTAGTAAATTCTATAATCTTCCCTCTCCACTTTAAATATCTGTCATTCACAGCCAAAGAATTTAAAAAAAGAAAAAGAAAACTATTGAAGTTCATTTAGAATTCAGGTTAAATATATCCTATTATGTGGTCATTTGTTTAAACTGCAGAAAATGTTATTCCAGATGAATATGCGCTAAATGCTTCACTGGATCAAAACATCTAGTTGCAAAGTCCCAGCTCAAGTCTTTGAAAATATTTGTGATATAGAACCATCAGTTGTGTTTCTAGTCATTATGGACTAAATTTTGCTCATCCCTAAAACTCACGTTGAAGCTCTACATCCCTTTCCACACACCTTCTTAGTGTATTTGGGGATAAAGCCTTTAGGGAGGTAACTGAGGTTAAATGAGATCATAAAGGTGAGGCCCTAATCCCATAGAACTGGTGTCCTTAGATGAAAAGGAAGAGATACCAGAGATCTCTGTCCATCATCACAAAGAGGCAAGAATCAGTGGAAAGTTACCATCTGCAAGCCAAAAACAGCTCTCACTAGAAACCGAATCTGCCAGCACCTTAATCACAGAACCATGAGAAAACAGATTCTGTTACATCACCCATTCTGTGGTAGTTTGTTAAGGTGCCCTGAGAAGACTAATACAATAGTATTCACTTAAAAAAAATTGGTTTTTTTTAGTATTACATGAATACAATTCTATCCTACCATATCTCTGTATCTTTGCAAATATCACAACTGTATTGTTAAAAAAGACTCAGATTTGGAAGACCTGTTCTCAAGTCCTGCCTCTACCAACTGCTATTTACTGTATATACTAGTTACATGCATGACGAGTAGATGCTATGAGGGCTCACAAAGGGCCTGCTGCTGCTGCTAAGTCACTTCAGTCGTGTCCGACTCTGTGTGACCCCATAGACGGCAGCCCACCAGGCTCTCCTGTCCCTGGGATTCTCCAGGCAAGAACACTGGAGTGGGTTGCCATTTCCTTCTCCAATGCATGAAAGTGAAAAGTGAAAGTGAAGTCGCTCAGTCATGTCCGACTCTTAGTGACCCCATGGACCGCAGCCCACCAGGCTCCTCCATCCATGGGATTTTCCAGGCAAGAGTACTGGAGTGGGGTGCCACTGCCTTCTCTGCAAAGGGCCTGCAGAAGGGCCCAAGTCCCTCATTCTCAGAGCCTCTCTCTACCTCTCACTTTTGCCCATCTCCTACATTTTAGCCAATGAAAATCCTTTAAAACTGGAAGGAACAAGGCTTGCTCTGATGTTCTTGTGAGGCAAGGGGGTTGAGTTCACTTGGGAGAAATCAGAAGAGGGGGCTTATCACTTCTGCCATGACCAGGACATCCCCACTCTGGATCTCCATCCTGGGCACTATGGAGCAAGGCTATGTATAGCCAACCAGCAAAGTGCCTATTTGTTGCTCTTCATTTCTCTCCCTCACAGTCTGGTAAGCAGCACCCTGCACCTCTGTCCTTAATTAACCTTTTTTTTTCTTTCCCTAGAACAAACCCTAGGCAGGAGGAGAGGGTGGGGATATTTTTCTTGATTATGAAAACCTATATGCATTCTTTAGGCACATGCATAGTTTTCATCCCCTAAATTGATTGGTTCTATTTTCCACACTTGACTCTCTTGGAAAATTATTTTTGTAGGCAACTGTAGTCCTTCAACAGTAACCTAATCATGTACATGAGCACTTCTAAACATATGATACTGTTTAAAAATAAATCATTCTGAGTAAGAGAGTGAGTGAGAGAGAGAGGTGATGAAGAGAGTTGTTTCCAATTTGAGACATCTACAAGTGAGTGGACACTCAGACGCTCTGAATACTGGACTCCCCTTTGACCTGGTCCTCCTCTTTCTGATCACCTGACCCCACATCAAGAGGGCTTTGAGATTATAAGACCCAGTCTTGCAATCCTGGCCTGGGCTTGGGCCACCCTGCTGGCCCTGAATCACAGATGCCCTGGTTGCAGCCACATTCCTCAACCACAGAGCACTCTAGACTTGCCCTCTGACCGTGCCTGCTACCATGGACCCTGCCAGAGCTGGCTTCTGTCCCTGGGACTGAGTCTCAAAGGAAGGAAGAAGAGTTGCCCTTCTATCTATTCCCAGTTTCCAGGCCTAGGACAGGAGTTAGGGAAGACACAGAGGGGCGGTGACTGGGCCTTAGTGGGACAATGGTTATCCCACACCCCCACTGTGGCTGCAGGCTCTAGGAGAGGTCCCTGGAACTTGTGTGTGATGAGGGCAAGAGTGTCAGCACCAGCCTCAGTGCCAATCAACCATCCTGGTCACCAGCCACACAGAAATCCCCTATGTTTTGAATTCCTTTTTACTCCCACAAAGCACCTCATGATGTTTTCGTTCTTAGGGACCCCTTTGGTGGGCAACTATCCTCCTCATGATGCTGTCATTCTTTATCTGCAGTCTAGAGGGGGTCTGCATAGATAGAAGTCCCCCTGCCTCCATCCCTCTCCCTCCCCGTGTGGGTTTCAGCCCAAATCCTGTCATTCAAACTAGGGCACTCTCACTGAAGGATGAATTCAGGATGGACAGTGGGAAAAACCACATATGCCTTCAAAAGCTATTGCAAAGTTCTCAGGATTTCAAGTATTTACTTCTACTAAGAACTCATTGAACTTGGTAAAATCTACCCAAGAGATCTTGGGAGACAAAAGGTTAGAAAAATATTAAGAAAAGTATTCAAAAGATTGCAGGTACTGACTCATATTATCATACTTTTGTCTTAGTTTTGAAAAGATCAGCTACTGGATTAGATCATAGGTACTATTTACAAAACTATAGAAAATAAAAACAGTTCTGTGAGTTTTAAATTATCAGAAGACCTATCAGACAGTGAATTTTATCTGTTGTAAGTCATTTACTTTCTCAATTTAACTCCCATGAAAAAAAAAAAGGGTAGGGTTACTTAAGGGGAGGTAGTCATGAATCTAGAGTAGCTTTCACTTACATCCAGTCCATTGAATAAGTATCTATGAAGTGAGTAATCTTTTTTCAGACTAAGAAGGAAATATCATCCATATACAGAGGTTGAAAATACATATGAAGTAACAAGCATGTAAAGTGAAACCATGAGACTCTAACTGCTAAGCTGAGAGTGTGTGTAAGTGCAGCAGAGAAGAGTGGAGGGGTTTTTCATAGTGGCCTGAGAAGTCACAGTGTTCTTCCTCATAAGACTAATACCAAACAAAACTGTAACAGTTAATTTTTATATATTTTCTCATTTGAGATTTTTCACACAAGAGGCTAGAGTCCATATAATAATTCTTAATTTACTTAAAAATTATGATGCTCCACAACTCGAGTTTGTATAGACCACAAAATACTGGAATCTGGTTTGGCTCTGCCATCCAGGCTCTTGAGTCTGGAGCTGTTCCTAGCTGTTTTTCTCAAGGATCTACCTTAAACTGGGTAAGATTATAAAGGATGAAATCAGTGCTGTATTTACAGCAAAAATCATGTATATTTTTTTCTTCTAAGAAATAGGCATGCATAGTCATATATGCATGAAGTCATATTGATTGAAGGAAACAGAAAGGACATGATGTTAGGCAGTTGCATTTTATCTGAGATTTCAATGAACCATTTTACAAAATTTTGGCAAATGCACACATCTGCAAGGTTCTAATTCATTATTCATACATCATGTGTGTAATTCAATATTTCTGGAAACTCACTGGGACAAGGATTATCTTAATCCTTTCCCACTTCCTTCCCTCTAGGTAAGAAGATCCAGTTACTTTCTTCTTAATTTTTTGGTGAATTTCCCTGAGGTTTTTGGAATATGAGTCTTTACAACTCAAAAGGACCTGAAACAACTTTAAAACTAAATGTATTAGAAGCTTAAACATAAATCAAAAACACGAGGTCTATGGAAAACACATGTGTCTTTAGAATGGGATGTGAAGGTAGATCATGGGTGGTGAGAGCAAAAGGAGGCATTGGTAATGGGGCCTATGGAGCGCTATCCATTTGTCTGGACTGTGCTGCAAATTTGCTCCAAGACTTCTGGCAGCCAGGTATTAAAAACAAATTGATAAAAAGAAAACTACAGGCCAGTATCACTGATGAACACAGATGCAAAAATCCTCAACAAAATTCTAGCAAACAGAATTCAAAAACATATTTAAAAGATCATGCATCATGACCAAGTGGACTTTATCCCAGGGATGCAAGGATTCTTCAATATTCACAAATCTATCAATGTGATACACCACATTAACCGAAAGATAAAAGCCATATGATTATTTCAACAGATGCAGAGAAAGCTTTTGACAAAATTCAACATCCATTTATGATAAAAAAAAACTCTCCAAAAAGCAGGCATAGAGGGAACATAACTCAGCATAGTAAAAGCCATATATGATAAACCCATAGCAAACATCCTCAATGGTGAAAAATTGAAAGCATTTCCCCTAAAGTCAAGACAAGGGTGCCCTCTCTCACCACTACTATTCAACATAGTTTTGGAAGTTTTGGCCACAGCAATCAGGAAAGAAAAAGAAACAAAAGAAATCCAGATTGGAATAGAAGTAAAACTCTCACTGTTTGCAGATGACATGATTCTCTACATAGAAAACCCTAAAGACTCTACCAGAAAATTACTAGAGCTAATCAATGAATATAGTAAAGTTGCAGGATATAAAATTAACAGACAGAAATCCCTTGCATTCCTATACACTACAATGAGAAAACAGAAAGAGAAATTAAGGAAATAATTCCATTCACCATTGCAATGAAAAGAATAAAATACTTAGGAATACATTTACCTAAAGAAACAAAAGACTTATCTATAGAAAACTATAAAACACTGATGAAAGAAATCAAAGATGACACAAACAGATGGAGAAATATACCATGTTCATGGATCAGAAGAATCAATACAGTGAAAATGAGTATACTGCCCAAAGCAATCTATAGATTCAATGCAATCCCTAGCAAGCTACCAATGG